ATAGAGAGTTAGAAACATCGATGAGAGAGAGACATCGATCAGCTGCCTCCTGCACATCTCCCACTGGGGATGTGCCCACAACCCAGGTACATGCCCCTGACCGGAATCGAACCTGGGACCTTTCAGTCCGCAGGCCGACGCTCTATCCACTGAGCCAAACCGGTTTCGGCAGGCCGTTTGTCTTTTTAAAGGTGAAGGGATTTGCAGGTGTGACCTCCAGATGCTTTTGCATTTGTTCTCTCCGTTTGGGATGCTCCCCTTTCCCCCGCCTGGTGAATGCTTATTCATTACGGACCTAGCTTGGGGACTTCTGGAAGCTTCTTGCGCCTTGTCCGTCCTCCCTCCCAGAGTCCGGTTTCCACAGCATTAAAGAGGGAGCGTGAGCTCGGAACTGAACGTCCTGACGGGTCACCCAGGTGACACTGGGGCAAGTTACATAAGCTCAGGATCTTTGTCTTTCAAAAGAAATAATAGTGCGTTAGAGAGAAGATAGGAATGGTTGTAAAAACGGTGAATCAATGCGCTGTAGAATGCGTCCTACAGTGTTCCTTGTGTAGTAAATGTTTAATCAATATGATTTTCCCAAAGGAATGGAGAAGGAAGCATATTCACTTTCTCTAGAAAGGCTTTATTACATCAAGACTTTTAGCCCTAGCTGGTTTGTCAGCCTGCAGACTGAGGGTCCTGGGTTTGATTCAGGCAAGGGCACATGCCCTGGTCCCGGCTCAATCCCCATTGTGGGGGTGTGCAGGAAGCAGCCAATCAATGATTCTCTCTCATCATTGATGTTTCTATCTCTCCCTCTCCTTTCCTCTCTAAAATCAATAAAACCCCATGTAATAAAAGGCTAATATGCAAATGCTATGACATGCACTGACCACCAGGGGGCAGATGCTTAACACAGGAGCTGCCCCCTGGTGGTCAGTGCACTCCCACAGAGGGAGCGCCACTCAGCCAGAAGACGGGCTCACAGCTGGCAAGCAGGGCTGCCATGGCATGAGCCTGTCCTACCTCTGCAGCAGTGCTAAGGATGTCGGACTGGCACAGCGGGGTGGCACAGCGCCCAGTCCCAATCTGGGCTCTTCCCTGGCCGCCTGCCGCTTGGTGCACTGCTACATCCCCCGAAGGGTCCCGGTCTGCGAGAGGGCACAGGCCGGGCTGAGGGACACACGGACACACACACACAGAGTGCACGGATTTTGTGCACTGGGCCTCTAGTGTGTATATATCTGTGTGTATATATGTATGTATTATTATTTAAAAATAATAATAAAACGTTTGTACTTTAAAAAACAAACTTACACAAAAGGGAAATGTGGCTCTGGGGAAGATTCCCGTGAGTCTAGTTAAAGGAGTAAATAGGGCACTAAGGTTTGGCAGGTATGACGGCTTTCCTTCCCACCCTCCTCCATATTCTAATGACAGTGGCTGACATCTGTCTGCTGTGTGCCAGGCTCCGCTGGGAGCTTCACACACATCTTTGCCCTGCTTGGCTTCACAGCAGCCCAATGAGGGGCTCCTGGTCTCCCCACTTATAAGAAGACTGAGGGTAGATAAAGCCACTTGCCCAGGTTCACCTCACTAGTACGTAGCAAGAGATAGGTGGCGATCCAAATCTGTCAATCCTGCGTCCTTTCCTAATAAATTGAGAGGGAAAAACTCTTCTTTCTTGGATGAGTTTCATCTTTCCTCATGAAGTATAAACCAGTTTTGTGGTGGAAATAAAATAGAGGAAGAAAGTATTGTATAGCACCATCTTGAATCTCGGCAAGGATACTATGTCTGGAACTAACTAATCTCGGGGGGCGGCCTCTGCCAGTCCAGCAGCAGGGTGACAGCTCACCCAGGTCGGGGCACTGAAAGTCCCACATGGCAGGGAACCCCTCAGTAGGGGGCAGTCTGGGACAGCAGTTGATGAGTTTCATTTTTCCTCATGAAGTATAAACCTGTTTTGTGGGGGGAAATGAAATGGAGAAAGTCTGGATTTTAGAGCACCATCTTGAATCTCGGCAAGGATACTACGTCTGGAACTAACTAATCTCTGGAGGCGGCCTCTGCCAGTCCAGCAGCAGGGTGACAGCTCACCCAGGTCGGGGCACTGAAAGTCCCACATGGCAGGGAACCCCTCAGTAGGGGGCAGTCTGGGACAGCAGGTCACCTGACCTTGGAGTCTTGAATTTCTCATCAGTCCTTCCTTTGACCATCTCAGGAAAAGCTGTGTTCACTGAAGACTGGCTTTTGTTTACACCCCAGCATCTCCTGTGAAGTGAAAGCTTACTGAGCTCCTGTAAAATGCTTCACACGGGCTGGGGATAGAGCGTGCTCAGTAAGGCTGTTGTTTGAGGGAGAGGCGAGAGAGGATGTGCAATTTATGACAGCGTAAAAGAAAACGAGTTAGCCGAAACCGGTTTGTCTCAGTGGATAGAGTGTCGGCCTGCGGACTGAAAGGTCCCAGGTTCGATTCCGGTCAAGGGCATGTACCTTGGTTGCGGGCACATCCCCGGTGGGAGGTGTGCAGGAGGCAGCTGATCGATGTTTCTCTCTCATCGATGTTTCTGACTATCTATCTCTCTCCCTTCCTCTCTGTAAAAAATCAATAAAATATATTTAAAAAAAGAAAAGAAAACGAGTTAGTGGGACCTTTCCAGTGTTATGTTCCTCTTTGCCTTTGTGACTCCTACTTACTAAAGCCGTGATAGCAGAGCAGAAACGCAGAAGCAACTGAGGGAGAGCCTGGCCCAAAGTCCTGTCCACAGCTGGGCTGAAGCAGTTGGAACCATGTAACCAGGGCGGTGACAAGCTGGAGAGTCACTAGAAGGTGTTTGTTATTCCGACCGAGGGCACTGAGAGTGGACATGCTGGTGGGAAGCTAACAATGTGAAGTGAGGAGACGGGAGAACCAGCAGTTCAGGAAATGTCAGGTTCCTCTTGAGACAAAGGTTTTGGAAAGAATTCCGTCTCGGGAGGAAACATGAACAAAAGG